GCTTTGAGGTCTAACGTCAAAGTTCCTCTAGAAATTTTCAGCTTTCAAAATGCAGCTATTGTTCGAATATAATATTCTAATCATAACAACAAGTAGACGGAGAAGAAGAAGAAGAAGGTCAGGCCAACCACAAAAACCACAACATCCTCCGCAACGAGCACCAACTCGACTCAAGTCAAACCAACTTAACCCAGCGATGATCCAATTACTGCTATGCCAACTGACAGATAGTAAACCCAGACGAATGATTACCGACTCCCGGGTAAAGTGGGAGAGGGTGAGGGAGAGTGGGCGAGGAGTTGGAAAAGACAGAGAAGGCTGTTCGCGTTGCATTCGTAGCGTCTTGGGCGGCTTTGTTATCTGCGCCTCAAGCGGTTTGACTGTGGCCTATTAATCTATCAGAGCTGAAGACGTTGCGACGCGTCAGCAAAACTTTACAATTGTAGTAGATAGTCCGACCGATCGACGAACGAACGGCGGACAAATGGACGGACAGGCGGACGGACTGAGGCCGCAAGAATTTCATTCTGTACGCTGCGACATGTAGCCCAAAAAGTTGGAAGAAAAAGAAAAGAAAGGAAAATGAGTTAGCCATGGGAAAGCGCTAAATAAATACTCTAGCTCAACAATAGATAAACTATCGAATTCTCAGATAGAATAGTAAATGCTTTTGTTAGTTGTATAAATATGAGATAAATATTGATGCGAGATGAATGTAAAAGTCAATATATGGATAGAGATGGAGATCGATATAGAGATTGCAGTGAAGATGAAGATATATTGATAAAGGTAAAGATTAGTATGTAGAGTTATAGTACTAGGTAGAGCTATGGCTAAAGCGATCATTATATATATAGATAGGATATAGGATATGATGCCTAAAGATACATTTATAATTATGTATGAAAATATATAACCAGATACGAATATAGATACAGATAAATGTATGCATATTGACAGATATAGACAAGTAATAAAGATGTATATGTGATTACAGCTATAGACACAGATAAAGGTATGGAACCATACAAAGTTACAGGTACATATGAATGTATACAGACACGCTCACACATGCAGATGCTAGATACACACACAGATAAATATGTAAATATGTAGATAGTGTTATAGTTGTCATATTTGAATATACCTATATAAAGATAATCTATCATAAGCACCAAGCTGTATCTCTTTTATCATATTAGAAGAGAATGATGAATCTATAGGAAGACCACATAGACTCTGTGACATATTTGATTACTCAGGCCTTAGATACACATTGTAAGAGTATCTATCTAATCACATATACATATGGAGAGAAAAAAAACCCGAACCGAACCGAACTGAACTGAACCGTCGCTTCGCGTCGCGTCGCTTCGTAATGCCGAGCGTCGTTTGCTCTTTTGAGGCGGTTCGTTCGGCTCGGTTCCCACAGTCGTCGCTGTTGGTTTTGTTGTGTGCTCGTTGTTCGTTTTACGAGTTTTCTATGCTGCGCGGCCACTTGGAGCTACTTTTTCATTAACACTTTACAATCTTTCCGCATTTTGTTGCCACCGATGCGGCAGTCAACCTCTGCCCCGCCCCTCTGGCTGCTGTTGTTGCTGCTGCTCGTCTCTGTTATTACAACGTTTCACGTTGTTGGACGCCTCTGCAGGCCGAGTGTCTTGCGTGCTGTTGTTGTTGTTGTTGTTGTTCGTTTTCTATTTGCTATTACACATTATTTATGGGGCGACTATTTATTTTTATTTAGCTTTTCATTGTTGTGGCAAGCAACCAGCCCTCCGCCCCCTCTTGTTCGCTGGTTTCGGCGCCCCCGCAACAATTTGTCAGGCACTTGTGAGACGCCGTCGCCGCCTGTGGAACAGTCGAAGCGCTTATTGGCGTCGCCTCCAGCTCAACAGAATCCAGAGCAGCAAAGATATAACTAAGAAAGAGAGGGGGAGAGTATAGAGAGAGAGAGAGAGAGAATGAGCACTGCAGCTGCAGTATTTGCGTCGTAATTGCCTTCTGAACTTTTATCAGCAATGCAAATTACTTGACAGCAAATCAAAGCCGACCAGATCGCCGGCCGAAGCATATGTATTGATAAATAAAAGAGATTGTTCTCTAAATAGAAGCAAAATGATCATTGACTCGATCAACATTCGACTATAAAGAAGTACACAGTTATGGAGATCATTCAATTAATTTAAAATGACTTAATGTAGGGGAATATACATACAGATATAGATCTGCATATGTAAATAAATATAGATATATGTAGATCTATAATTCCAAGGTTAGCTATTATAAACCATAAGCATATATTCTTCAATTGGATTTCGAATAGAACTCTAGCATGGTATTTTTTAGTAAATATGGCCTATACCATATATAGTTAAATTTAAGATTGACTAGAAGAACCTTTAAAAAATCTACCAAAATCTTTTCAGAGTCTTAAATCTTTTTAATTGTTGCGTTTTATGACGAAATTCAATTTTAGATATCGAAATAATTTAGAAACATGTAGTAACATGCATAGAGCTGAGCTTGATATGCGCACACATATACACACATGCATATACATATGTATACTCTATTTCGTATTCAGATAAAGCCTGAGAACTTAGGCGTATCGAAGTTTCGGTAGTAGAATTTGTGACGCGTTTGCCCATACGACCGATTAAAGCTTTTAGATTACAAACACAAACAAATACATGCATGACATATATGTATGTATGTATGTGTAGTGCCACACGAGGAGGCACGTTTTGCTCATAAATAGCACACACACACACACACACACACATGCATGCACACACTTTTGCATATTGCATTTCTTGCTGTGATAAGACTCTGCAGCTCGAATCTACATTGTCTTACGATTTTATGCAGTGTTTTTTTCCTTTCCACAACTGATATGATATGTGTAGATCTGTGTAGTATGTACTCTATAGATATCCTGTATTTTAAGGAAAATTCAATTTAATGTGTGGACTGTATAGATATCCTGTAGTAAAGTAAAATATATTCTATAGGAATGAGAAAAAAGCTGAAAATTGTATCTTCCGTTTGTAAAAAAGTTAAGGAAAATTTAAGATAGTTATTATATATACTCTTTAGATATCTCTTATATTCATAGTATTAATATATGACTCTATAGATATTCTGTTCGAATTTCAATTTGAATGAAGTCAACATAAAATATTTAGCTTGAGCTGGAGTTATTGACGGCTCATTGATGGCTCAGCTGCTCTATCTCTCTCTCTCTCTCGCTCTCTCTTGGTCTCCCTCTTTTTTTTTGGTACTGCCACACTTTTGGTGGGCTTCAATTTACAGTTTACAGTTTTGCTTTTTTTTTTTTTTGTTATAAATAAATTGTTATTTTATGACTTTTGCTGCGCTCTGCGTTTTTTTTTTTATATTGTTGATAGTTTTACT